AACCCCATCAGTCCACATCAGACCCAACCCCATCAGTCCACATCAGACCCAACCCGATACGTCCATAAACCCTGATGGCTCCAAACGATGCTTCAACCTCCACATCGGCTCCGTTTCTCTGGTTTGGGCACTTAAATGAAACACATGGAGGACGGCTGTGAGTAACACAACAGGACCACAGAGACCCAGAACCACCCACAGAGGGACAACACGGGCCACAGACACACAACACCACACCAAACACACACACACACACAACAGCTGCAAATAACACACAACTCCTGAAGTTACACACAAATGACCACAAAACAAATGCAGACACACAATGAACACATTTAAACACAACTGACTTCAGAGACAGAAAACGAAACTACACACACACAAAGTGACCACGCAGAGACCGACACACACACAAAGTGACCACACAGGGACCGACACACACAAAGTGACCACACAGAGACCGACACACACAAAGTGAACACACAGGGACCGACACACACACAAAGTGACCACACAGGGACCGACACACACCAAACCAACCAGTCAGAGACACAAAACGACCAAATGAACACATCAGTGAACAGACACACGTCACCAGAAACACACAAACTACACAAACTACACAACACAATTGCAGACACACACCGACCACAGAACCCACTGGACCCAGCCCGGTTCCGTCCGGAGCTGCTCTCCGGGCGGCGGAAGGTCAGTCTGACCGCGGACCGGACCTCCACCAGCGGACCGGCGGCTCTGCTGTCCGGCCTCTGGTGGAGGTCCGGACCCAGCAACGGCCTTCTGTCCGGACACCGAGCGTCCACCGCGGCGGTGAAGCCAGAGCTTCTCCGACCCGCAGTGGATCATAACGGAACCGAGCCCAGCTCCGGAACCGGGTTAACGAGCCCGGTACCGCCGGAGCAGCTGACCTCCGCAGGATAACAATGGAGCCTCCAGCCGCTAGCTGACAGCCGCTAGCTGACAGCCGCTAGCCGGCGGCGGGCGCCTCTTACCGCTATGACGTTGACGAAGGTGGTCTTGCCGGAGTACTGCAGCCCCACCAGGGTCAGCTCCATCTCCTCCTTCCAGAACAGCGCCTTGAACCAGTCCAGCAGCTTGTTGATCAGCGCTATCATGGTTCCGTCGTCTGGTGCTAATGCTAACGCTAAGGCTAAGGCTAGCGGCGGCTACGGCTAGCTGGCTGGCTAACGCCCCGACGGTGCTGCTGCTCTGCCGGACGGTCACTGCGACGACCTCGGACGGTAACGGGACGACCGACGGCACCGACAGGCTTCACATGGACCGCAGACAGGCCGAGATGAGTCGCTGTTTTCAGCCGCTAATGTTTGCGGAGTGTTTACGCCTTTTCCGAACACAGCGCCGTCAGAGTTCCGCAATGCAGCGCAGCGCATCCGGAGCAGCCCTTCAAAATAAAACACCGGAAAAAAAATCTGCTACAACAAAATAAAAGCTTCAGCAGAGCGACTGTATTTATAAGAGTGAAACAAGTGAACAGAGTGACACTAAGCCCACAAGAACCCACAAGAACATGGAATCACCGGAGAAAACAGTCACACAATGACCAAACATGAAAACACACAAACAGACTCACACAGAGAGAAAGAAGACAAGAGACACAACCTAAAAAATAACAGAGACACAAACTAACACAATATGAACAAATACAAAATAAAACATAAAATTATTTTTAAAAATGAGATGAAATGAGGCAAAACACACAAAATCATCAAAATTACAGCAGCTGATTAAAACGAGACACAAAATAAACAAAAAGGAAAATGAAAATACATCAAACATGATGACAAACCAAAGTCACAACAACCACAGAGGAAGCAGAACAACTCTGACATGAAACACAGCTGGACTGAATCAACACCAGCTCCATCACGTGTTCAGGGAGCAGCTGCTTCCTGTCTGGATCAGAACCTGTAGAACTCAGTCTGAGGTTCTGGGTGGGGTTCGGTCCGTCATCATGTCAGTGATCAGAAAAGAGGAACCTCACACAACACATACTGCTGACTGACTGAAACACTGCTGCCCCCTGCTGGTCCCTCCGCTCACAGCAACACGACAACCAGCAGGACACACACCTGG